CAAGCGCGGAGGCGGCCGCCCGCAGCAGGAGCTCGCACGACACCTCCTCGCAAGCTTCTTCGGCGGTGGAGGCCGCCGCCTGCCGCCGGAACACCGCCCGCCGCCGGAGCGCCGTGCGGAGTGGCGCTGCGCGTGCGGCACGTGCAACTTCGAGACCCGCGGGGCGTGCCGCCAGTGTGGCGCCGCCCGCGCTGGGGCGAAGGCGAGCTGCCCGCCCCCGCCGCCGGCTGCCCCTGCGGGCGACGCTGGCGCAGCCTGGCCGGCTCTGCCTGGCGCCCGGGGCCCCCGCCCTTGGCCCAGGCGGAAACTCTCCGCCAGGCAGCCGCCGCGGCCAGGCGCGCTTGGGCTCCGGCTGCGGCCGTCGAGCCGCTGCAGGCGGAAGAGCGCGCCGCGAGGCAGCGACAGGCGGAGCTCCAGGGCGCCGCCGCCGAGGGGCACCTCGCCGACGCGGTGGTCCGGAAGGCGTTGGCCGAGGAGTACTCCCGAGCAGCAGCGCTCCTCGCCAGCCCGGGGCTGGCGCCTCTGACGCCCGAGACGGCCGCCGCGCTCCAAGAACTGCTCGAGCCGCGCGGCGAGCCTGCCCTGGAGCTCAAGCCGCGCGGCGGGCCCGCCGCCGCTTCACCCCTCTCCCACCTGGAATTGCGAAGAGCGCTCGGACGGAACCCGAAAGGGAGCGGGGCCGCTGTGGAGGGCGGCCGTTTCGAGCATTGGCGGGTGCTGCTTGCGGAGCCAGCCGCCCTCGAAGCATTCTGCAACCTCTGCGACCAGTTCGCGGCTGGGGATCTGCCTGCGAGCGCCGCGGACGCACTCGCCCTGTCTCGAGTGACGCCGCTCAGCAAGCCGGGCGGCGGGGTGCGCCCCGTCGCCGCGCCGAACGTCCTCCGCCGCCTGGTGGGGAGGGCGCTAGTTGCGCCGCGGAAGGAGGAACTCGCGGCCGCGCTGGGCCGGCACCACTTCGCCATCGGCACGGAGGCGGGGGCCGAGTTGCTGGCGCACTTTGTCCGGGCGCTGACGGAGGCGGTCCCGGACCTGGTCTTGGTGGCTCTGGACGAGAAGAACGTTTGCGGGACCGCGCGGCGCGAGGCTTGCCTGGGCGAGCTGGAGGAGGCGGCGCCAGAGCTCCTCCCCTTCGACCCCTTCTGCCGGCGCCGCTTTCAGTATTACTTTTGGGACACGGGCGGGGACTGCCGCCGCTTGGGCTCGGCGGTCGGCGTGGGCCAGGGGGGCCCGCTGGCGCCCTTCCTCCTTGTCTGCGGCATCCGCTCTCCCCTCATGGTGCTCGAAATCGCGCTGAAGGCGAGGGCGGCCACCCTCGGCTCGAGGGCAGACGATGTCCGCGTCCTGGCCTACTTGGACGACGCGGTCGTCCTCGCGCCGCCCGCTTTGGCGAGCGAGGTCGAGGCGACAGCAGAGGCGACTTTGGGGCCCCTGGGGCTCGTGCTGCAGCGGCGGAAGACGCGGGCTTGGTCGCCCCGCTCGCCCTGCCCGCCGGGGTTGGGAAGCGCCCTACCGCTCTGACGGCGTCGCGCTGCCCGGCGCCCCGCTCGGAGGGCCGCTGCCGCCGGCAACCTCCCGGGCGAGAGCGCCGGGCGCCGGCTGGAATTGGGCAGCGACGCCTACGCCGCGGCGCGCTGCGCCGAGACCGCCGAGAGAGCGGCGGCGCTGCTGGGGATGCTCGCCCAACTCCCCTCGCAGGCCTCGCCGCACCTGCCGGCGACCCAGGCGGCCGGGCTCCTCCTCCAGCACTGCGGCGCGGGCAAGGTGACGCGCCTGCTGCGCGCCAACCCGCCGGCTTGTTCCCGGGGCGCGGCCGCGGCCTGCGACAGCGCGCTCCTGGAGGCGTGCCGGGAGCTGGCGCGGCTGCGCCCGTCGGTGCCCGAGCAGCGCGCGCGCTGCCGCCTGCCGCCGCGGCTGGGCGGCCGAGGCTTCCGCGGCCAGGAGGAGCTCGCGCCCGCCGCCTGGGCCGCCTCCTGGGCGCAGAGCCTGGCGGGCGTCCGAGAGCGCACGGGGCTGGCGGAGCTGGCCGACCTCGAGACCTCGGGCCTGCCCCTCGCCGTGGCTTGCCGGGAGGCGCTGGCCAGGCTGCTGGCGGGCCCGGCGGACAAGGCCAGGCTACTGCCAGCCCCGGAAGAGAGACCGCTGCCCCCTTGGCAGGAGCTCGCCCAAGAACCTCAGGAGAAAGTCCAAAGGAGACTTACGCGCAGGCTTGACTCACAAACT